TATATATATATAATATTATCAAAATTGTGTGTTACATCGGATGTAGATCATTTTCTTGACATAAGGAAATCCCATTTGGATAGGCGCAGATCATACCCTAAATTGAGGTGGCGTTCTTGATGCATCATATTATAAAATTTTAATTTTAAAAAATATTTGATGACCACCTAACTAAATCTGCCAAATTTTTTATTTAATTCTTTAGCTCTCTAGAATCAATATAAAAAATAATTTGTCAAATTTGGGTAGATGGTTGCTGAGATATCTTCACTCAAAGTTTTGAAAACATTAAAACGTCTATTTAAATAACAGCCACAGCCAAATTTTTATAAAGATTTGAGTGAAGATATCTTAGCGACCACCCATCTAAATTCGATAATTTTTTTATTTTTTTATTTTGTTTCTAAAATCTCTAGAATTAAAATAAAAAATAAGTTCATCAAATTTGGCAAATCTCTAGAATCAAAATAAAAAATAAGTTCATCAAATTTGGCAAATCTCTAGAATCAAAATAAAAAATAAGTTCATTAAATTTGGCAAATCTCTAGAATCAAAATAAAAAATAAATTTATCAAATTTGGCAAATCTCTAGAATCAAAATAAAAAATAAGTTCATCAAATTTGGCTAGGTGGTTGCTAAGATATCTTCGCTCAAAGTTTTGAAAACATTAAAGCATTTATCAAAATAGCTGCAGCCAAATTTTTGCAAGCTTTGAGCAAAGATATCTCAGGGACCACCTATCCAAATTCGATAAATTATTTTTTATTTTGTTTCAACAGACTTATAGAATCAAAAAAAAAAGAATTTATTTTAGCGGTCATCGAGGTATCTTTGCTGAAATTTTTAATTAAATTTTATTAAGAATATGGTGCATCAAGAACGCCACCTTAATTTAGGGTATGATCTGCGCCTACCAAATATAAAGAGCTGCATCAGGGTTAGCATAATGGAAATTGGTTTTTATTGGCTATCGATTTTGATCATTAGATTGAATATGATTGGTTAATAAATCATAGATCCTTATAAAATTCCTATATATTAGTATTAGTAATATAGCGACTTTTAAAGTAATTTATGTAACAACCAATTTTTTTTTTACTAGTATGTTTTTTGTGCTCTAACAGGTCTTTTAAAACTTTCAAATCAAGTAGGATCAAGTATTTAAAGGTAGCTGGCTTATATATAAAAGTTGACAAAGATATGAACGCCATAGTAGTTACTTTAACTTCTACAACTTAGAAGGTAAAAAAGCTAGTGAGACGCATTTATATAATGCTTTATTACCATTTATCTATATCTTCTAATGCATTTTGTAATTTCAATATGTCTCTATCTCTCTCTTGAATAAACTCATGTTCTTTTGTGTCTTCTTCTGTCTCTTCGGAATCCTGTGATTCTTCTTCAATTCTATCCTCCTTGGTAACATAATTTGCTCATTTTTCAAGTTTTTTTAAAAATGAATTAACATTTTTGTATATACCATTCTTATAGTACTGTTCACAATGCCGGCAACTATATTCCATCTTTTCATAGCAGTACCAGTGAAAACCATGACCACAAATCAAGACAGTACCATCATTCTTTTCGCTTAATGAATCAAAGCAGTCATCACAAAGTCCTTGTGAAGGAGAACCGCTTGTACTATAACCTGTAGGTAAGGACATAATATCGACTTCTTCATTTAAGATAGCAAGCTTGTATTTTAAAACTTCTTTTTTCGTTTTTTCCATAATTTACTTGTTATACTACCAACCATTTTAATATGGTGAAACACTTGGCGAAAATAATCCAACAAAAATAATGATGTTTTATTTGCCAAATATTCTAAATTAGAGGGCATATATGGATACCTTTTTTTTGTGTGAAACATTTCTTTAAATTGCGATTCTTTATTTGCATCTATTTTTTTTTTTTTAAAAAAAAAAAAAATTAGCTGGATCGATTAAATTATTTTGACTAAAGATTTTTTTTTTTTTTTTTTTAATACCTAAAATACAAGCCTGTTTAATAATAGTATCGGGACTATCACAAGAAGATGTATTTGCCCGTATTTTGCTATGGAAATTTTCAATGAAATAATCGTTGAAATTTACCAAAAACATTTTAATTACATCTAATATTGGGTGCTCTTTTTCTTGCCAATAAAAAATATCCGACAAGAACACCAAAGGTGCCTTATTGTAGTTTTTATGGTTCCAACGAAGAGCGAAAGTCCATATTCAGAAAACTGTTTCAATGTATTCATCAAAAGAGCCTGAACGAAAGAGAACCACATATACATCCAAAGTAGCAGGAATGACATTATTAAGGAGGTCAACTAACATTCTATATTCCACACCCTTACACATAGCTCCAAATTTAGCTAATATTTTTGATTTTATCGTTATCCATCCCTGGTAAGCAAGTTCGAGGAGAAGATTTATTCTCCATGGTTTTGGTTTTTTTGCAAGAGTTTTACGCTTTCCGAAAACTGCATGAAAGAGCATTTTAAAAAAAGAATAATATATTTTTAGAACTTGCTCCTGACTGTTTAATGAAACATGAAGCGGGCCTAATATAGGTATGAAGACATTTATAGAGGCTGGTATTTTGGTATTTTGGTGATACAAATTAGTTAATGTCTTCTGTATAAAAAGTTGCCCAGGCCAGTTAGCAATAATAGGCATTATGTAATTATTTGTAAGCCCAGCATTTTCATTTACTAAGAGAATCATTTTCAAAACATTTAAATAATCATTTAGGGAATGAAGTTGACTCTCCTTAATCTCAACTAATCAAACTTCTTCCATAGTTTTTTCCGCTTCTTTTTCTTTTATAGCATCATCATAGCAATGGACGGTTAAAAGAGCCCAATTCCTTGTGAAGCGGTCCACTGATTTTTCTTTGTGAATAGGAAAGATCAAAAATTTCATGATACTGCGTAATTAAGTACAAACAAATTAAGGGTGCATCAATATTGGTAGGATTATAGACCGAATTATTGTTATAAATTATTGGAATTGGTGCATATTTTGTAATTTCCTTACTGACACATGTTGAAAAATGAATAGGAGCAGAAAAAACTACAGTGTCAGGACGTCTTATTCCATGTATATTGTGGTAATCGTCGATATTATATACAAAAAAACTGTTAAACTAATATTAAAAAATGTTAAAATTTAGGAGAATTATATATTATAGCCAGAGGTGTAAACACAATGTCATAACTTGTAATGATAATAAGTTATAGCATTTTTTTTGTAACTTATTATCTTTACAAGTTACAGCATTGCGTTCACACCTTAACTGTGATTACAGAATTTTAAACTAATTGGGTAAATTCGAATTTTATTATTTATTATTTTTATTTTTTATTATTTTTTTATTTTATTTTATTTTATTTTATTTTTTTATAATACTTACTTTTTCAGCAAAATATTTTCGAATATTTTCTGAATGTGCAGCTACAACTTTTTTTCTGTAATTATCGATAGTCTTATAACAAACAGTAATACCTGCATTATGCATTGCATTAATTGCATCACAAGAAGCACCTGATGCCACTAAATATAATCTGATTTCTAACGAATAGTTATTTACAAGTCTATTACGTATCGCCGCAATCGAGTAACATATATTGACCACTTTTTTTTTATCTTCTTTTCTATTATAAGCTAACCGTCTTTCTGGAATAAATACGTTGTAAAGCTCATCAAAGAATCCTACCAATTGTGGTTTAGCATTCTCAAGCATTGTCTGAAAACGATCTGGGTTTAATTATAGTGTGTTATTTTTTTTTCTTTGTTTTTCGTATAACACTCTAGTCATCAAAGTAATTTTTTCCCAAATGATAATGGTTTTCTAACAATTATGTGATCTTGCCCATTATTATTAGTTGATGACTCATTATGGTAGTTGGGTTCAACAATATCAAGGTAATGAGGATAGCACAATTGCTTTCCAACTTCTAAATAGTTATACCTATTAAAAGTTCCTTTTTCTTTTGCTTTTCTTAGAGCATATTCTGTGATTCCGCGATATTGATTTGGTCTAATCTGGCAAATACAAACAAAACAAGAACCGAGATTTTTTTTAGTTATTTGTAAAAAATTTTTTTAAAAAAAATATTTTTTAAATTTTAAAATTTTAATTCTTTGAAAAAGCGCATTTATTTTACTAAAAATAATTTTTTTTTTATTACATATCATTACTTAAAATAATTTATGTGCTACTCTAATTAATACTACAAAACACATTACCCCTAAAATATTTTAACTAAGGTGTGGTGATTTAGTGAAGTGGTCTAGTTGTCACCCTCACCAAATGTTATGGGAAGATCCCATGTTCGAATCCCAGGGATGGTGCTTTTGTAATATGGGAAAAGCTCTGCGACGATCTTTACTAAGGTTGGCCCATGGAGGATCTGTCGAGACGGCG